AGATACCTCGGCTACCCACTACTCATCTATCTCACAGAAAATGCCCCATTTTGAAACTAATAATATCATTTTTTATATCATTAAAAAATTTTAATAATTTGTAACTTGAGCTGATTCTACATTTGACTTCGCAGCTACTCTGCTACTTTCATTATAATCTGACTCCTGGCCTCACAGTTACAAATACATATATACCCACATCTCAAACCCAGATTCTGCCATCACCCTGGTGGCAACACCCACGTGGATAAAATCATAAATCCTATAGCTCTATGACATCCCACCCCCACTGATCTCCAGTGCTTCTCCAATTAGGCCATCACCTCATCTATGTTATCATTACAAAATAATGAATACAATGCAGTCCTTCCAATCCTCTCACACCTTTATACTACATGTTTTTCTTAAAATTCTGTTATAAATTCTTGGTGTTTCTTTTCCTTCTTTGGGCTTATAATTTCCTCCTACTCTAATTTTCTGATGCTCACGCTGGACTATTACATGAATTAATCACTCAATTCCTTGCTGTCATCTCTTATTCCATTCACCCACAACTGCCTCTCCATGCTTACCTAGAAGGAGTTTGATACTGTTACAAATGTGGGTGGATGTCACTGGAAAGATGTGTCTACACATTTCATCTGGGCTCTCAACTCATCAATTCTCAATATACATAATAAGCTCCTCCACCAGTGTTTAGGATTCACAACTCTTAAAACTAGATCATGTTTTTATTGGTTGTGTCTCTTTCTCCTTCATCTTTAACACCTCTTTTCTTTGGGCCCTCTTCTGAGCCATTAGTCAAGGTCTTATCTCCACTCTGAACCAATCTCTTCCTAAAACCTTCCAGTTAAACATTACTCATCTCCAGAGGATAAAGTCCATATCTCTTAGCCTCATCTCCTGCCTCTCCAGGCATTGTATGGTACCCCTTGTACCTTTTAAACACACAAGTAGGTGATTGTTTGCAGTTTTACCTCTTCTATTATTATTGCTGGCAAATAATCTTACCACAATCATAAGCAGAGAAACTTTTCTTTGATGAGGAACTCAAGGAAATCTGTTTCTCAGCCATTTTTCAATAAAGCACAGACTAATAGCTAAAAAGATCAATGCTCTTAAAGTTAGCCAAATGCCCACATAATTTTTTAAGAAAATTGAGCAACACTTTATAAAGGAATATTATCTATTAAGTAACAACTCTTCTTGTTCAAATCTTTAATATACCACATTCTCATATAGGTTGCAACCTGCAAGTTTAATTACAATAAGTGGTAACTAGGGTTCTGGTTTTTCTAATCCCTTTAATTATGAGTCATAAGCTAAAGTTCAGGTACTTAACAGTCCACTAAAAGAAGCCTAAAAATACATTTACAGAGGAAATTAACATTTTTATTTAATGGCTAACCTGAATTAGCTTGGGCCAGGAATTATTATTAATAGAAGAGGAAGAGACACAGAGAAGTAACTTGCCTCAGTTACACTACTAATAAGTAGTGTAATCAGGCTAAGCCATTTGGTTCTAGAGCCATCATTCTTTACTACTATATAAAAACAGTCTCCCCACAAAATTTCCTACTACATAGTTAAAAAGAAAAAACAAAGATTTCTTTTCAAAATTCACAAATCACCTAATCTTTACATTATCTTCACAAAATAACAAAGACCCATGGTTACTCCATGATTGTTTAATAAATGGAAGTGAAATCTTCTACCCAACTAGCAAGGAACTCTAGCAAAAAGAGATTTTAAAAGGATACTAATGTTGCCATAAAAATTTCAATTGATTACCAAAAGTATGTTTTCAAATAGTCTCTAAATGCACTTAAAGAAAGCCTTGGACATGATCCAAACAATGTGCCCATATGGTTCTTATATACTTAAAATCTCTACAACACACACCTCACATTCACACTGCTGACAAATATGCAAAGCCTATTCTGCTCTCCTCCTCCTGTTCTAACACAAGCCATTTGCCTTTGTTCTACTGTGAGCTATCTGGTTATCTTCTTTTCCATCTAAAGGTAAAGTTGAAGGACACAATTGAAAGAAGGGTTAAATACATCCTCAACTACCTTTGTGTATTTCTACAAGGTTTCACTGAATGAACAAAGGACCATCTCTGTGTTTCACAATAAGAATAGTAAACAGCCAGGCACAGTGACACAAGCCTAAAATCCCAGCTGCTTAGGAGGCTGAGGCAGGAGGATCACAAGTTCAAAGCCAGCCTCACAACTTAGCAAGGACCAACTTAGTGAGACCCTGACTCTAAAAAGAGGAGGCTGGAGATGTGGCTCAGTGGTTAAGCTCCCTGGGTTCAATCGCTGCTACCAAAAAAGACACAATGATAAGAAAAAAGTGGAGAAAGAATATAAAGGGATAGAAAGGGTTTTACAGGTAAGAAAGAAGGAACCAGCCTTGTTGATCTTGATGGGTAGGAAAAGGAGACTTCTACCATGAAACAAGAACAACATGCAGCCTGGTTTTAAATGTTAAAGTCTACATTATAGCCTCTAATGAGGGAGTCCTTCATTGAACAGTAGGACTGAAGCTGGGCTAAATGATTCTGAATAGCTTAGTGAAAGAATGACTCTAGTCAGAGCATGCATAAGGGGGCAAACTAGAGCTGTTCTGGACGGACACAGATTGGACAGGTTGAGGGCACTGGATTATGGAAGATGAGGGAAGAGTAACTTATTATAGTAGCCTTAACTGTTTAAAATGTTTATTAAGACTAATTCAACAAAATAACTCTTATTATAGATCAAAAACATCACCTCTTGTGAATTTCAAAGCTACCTGTTGATTCTAGTATTTAACAGAAAAATTTAGTCTTTATGCTATCCATATCCCTTGTGACTAAACCTTCAAACCCATTAATTTGTCTTTCCTGTGACTGCCCCAATATCTTTCCTTGATTGATTTCTTACATGCTGAGCCACTTAACATACTTTTGATCACAGATTACCATGCATTTCTGATCCTGAACTGGCTTCCAGGTTCATCCACATTGACACAATTGAGAGGTCATCTTAGCACTTGAACTCTTTCACTGTTGATCCATTGCTAGAATAGACCCTTCTGCACTGTACTTTCCTTGGCCCAGGGGTCTAAGTTCTCCAAACTCTGTCAGGTTACATCAATAACTGACAGGAATCTTGGAAGAATAAAAACTGGCTTCCATCTTTTAAAAGTCTTACCTAATATATTTTTAATGAAGCCCATAGAATTTTAATCCAATGTGATGAATAAAAATAGATCAAAGTCTATGTTAAAATGAAAGACAATAATGAGAAAAAGTCAGACAGAAATCTAAGAGTCACAGAAATGGGCAAGAGAAGAAATGAAAGAGATAATGAGGCAGAGAAAGACAAAATTATGAAAGAGATGAAGATAAAGAGAGAAACAGATACCCCAAAATGAAAAATTCACAAAGGCAGAGAGAGAAATAAAGACATAAGCAAGAGGTAGAAGAGAGAAAAAAATCAGAAAGATACACAGAAACAAAAGAAAAATACAAAGTCCAGAAAAGAGAAGTGGAGAGAGAAGTAAGCCCATTTTTCCTGTCCCCCTCCCCAAATTTATCTATCCCTTCAGAAAGTAAATAAAAAATGTATATAAACTTCAAATCTAAATCATATCCACTTTGCTGCAGTGAAGTGACCGGATACTTAAATTTCAACAAGCATTACAGGGAAAGGATGGAAGTTATTAGTATCCAAAAACAACAACAACAAAAAAAGAAGCTGTGCCTCTGCATCATCATCCTTCTACCCTTTCTCAAGCCTGATTGAGGATTATCCATGCTCTACAGAAGAAGACACTGAACCTCAGAAGACAAAGCCTTCTGACTCAGGAAGAGGAACCTGGCCAACTCCATGCCTGCCTTTCTCCCCTCCCTCCTCAAAGGCCATCCTGATGATCAGGAGGATTCTTCCTTCTTGTCCTTGTCCAGAGTGCTCTCTACCCTCTCTGAAAAGCACCCCCTCATTCAAGGTACAAGCCCAACTTATTCAGTGACAGAGTCTTGTCCACCTCTGCCTCAGGCATGCAGCATAGGGCCTGGTACATGCAAGTCAGCAGTTTTTGTCAATGAATATATTAAGTTGGTCCTACACATAAAGGTGTACATACACATATATACGTTATACATGTTTACTATGTATGTCAACAGAACTTGAATAAAGTTGTTCATAGTACTAACCAAAATATTGTGGTAATTTCCATCTACATCTACTCCCCCTCCAGTATTCTCAATCTCATTGATGTCATCACCATCCAAACTGTTCATCCCAGCTACAAATCCCTTTATCTAATTAGTAAAGCCTCTAGTTCGTATTTTCTATGTGTCTACTACTTTATCTCCCACGCCATGTATCCACATGCCAAAATTAAAAAAAAAAAAAAAAAAAAAACAAGATCTCCTGAATGAGTCTCTTTAAACTTTTCCATGCCCCACATTGTTGCCAGTTACCTTTTGAATTAAGTCACGTTCTTAATGAAATACTTCCAATGGAAAGAATTAACATCAAACTCTCTATTTTGGTATTGGGCACTCTCCTGGCTATACCTCACCTACCTCCCCACAATCATTCCCTAGCCTTCTCTGTCCTTCTCTATCCACATCATTCCCTAAAAAAACACTTCTTTTTTTCCCCTTCACCAGACTTCTCTATCCAGGTACAACACATTTCCTTGCCTTCCCTTTTCCACATCTACTTTTTTTTTTTTTTAACATTCAGCTCAAATTGCATTTTATTCCTCAATCTGCTGACTGACGCTAGGGAGAGGAAGTAATTTCTGTATCTGGATTTCCAATGCCCTTGAAACATGTATATATTATGGCTTACATCTAAAATATGGTAGTTATTTAAGCATCCATTCCATTCCAATCTTCCAGTAAAGATTGTTTCATTTTCTTTTTTAAGTGTCCCAGGGTTTAGTACAGAATCTGTAGAGAGGAGAGACCTAATAAATATGGGAAGAATAAACAAACATACCTTTCTGTGCTTTAATAAGCTGTTTTCCAATTTCAAGCGTCACATAGGCTGTGCCATTTAGAACTATGTCTGTTATGGTCTTCCAAGCATTGGGAGAGAGTCTTTCAGTGGGTGAAATAAAATTTCCTGCTGCGTTGTTTATCACGATCTAATAAGTGGATGAGGCAAGTTATAGAAACTTTCAGATAAGGTAGAATATTTTCCCACTAGGGCTTTTATTTTTGAAGCTTATTAATCCAAATAATATAATACGGCTTAAGTTCACAGTCAGCCTTTATAACAATACTATGAGATTGGGTTCAGTTTCATGTTCTTGGAGTCTGAAAATCTATTATTTCCCAAGTTCAGAATCCTAACACGTCTTTAAATTGGGGTAGTTCTATTATTAAGAAAAAAAAAGACAGAGTAAGCATGTCTATCATGTAACTACACTATTTCAGGGAACCTCAAGAAATGCCTCTGGATTTCTATTATTTACTTTTTTTAACTTAATGAAACTCTTGGTCATTGACCTGTTTCTTCAGGATCAACTGCTTAGTTGTATGACAGATTCAATATTATTAGATGGTTTGAAAATATCTTTAATGTAGAAAAGTACTCACTTTGAGATTATTGGAAGAAATGGCTTATCTCTAATAAATGGACCAAATAAAATGTCCATTTATATCTCAGGTTTTAGAAGGAGAAATTTGGAACTTCTTGTAGTTTTTCTTAGTTGTATTGTTCTCCTCCACCAAGAGATAATCAAAAGTTATTAAGAAAAGCAAAGACCATGAATCATATAAACTAGATATTGTGTTCTTGGACTAACTGCTCTTGTTATTTCATAATCTTATTACATAAAGTGAAATCAAGTTTGTTCCATGATTATAAATGCATTTTTAAAGTATTCCTGAAAGAAAGAAGGGTAGCAGTCCACTTAATCTTTTCCCTGCTTTGAGCCGAATTAACATTTTCCTAGGGACAGAAAACATGTGCTTCTCTGTATAGCCCTTGCTCACATCAAGAGTTTATTTCATTTTTGCATCCTGATGGGTGTTATCAACTTCAAATGACTCTCACTTTGTCTTCATCACCATATACTTACATCAGGAAGTCCTGCGACTTTGATCAGTTCCAACACAGTCTTGTGAACCATATCAGGATCCCTCACATCACACTGAAGTGCATGAACCTGCATAAAACAAAGAGAGAAAAAGAATTCTACACTCCCCAGACTTCCTAAACCAAAACAGGAGTAAATTGTTTAAACATGTTATAATTCACAAATTTAATTTAAATGACTGCTTTTGAATTTACCTTATTTCCAGTTTGAGAAGAAATTTGTTCTGCAGTAGCTTTCAAAACATCAATCTTCCTAGAAATAAACACATGGTATGATGCATGAGTTCTGAAATGACTTCAGATATTTTTCTTTTTAATTCCATAAATTAGAATCTACAGCTTAAAGTAATGCATTTTTGAGAAAATATGAGTTACATCTACATACAAATCAATTTGAATGAATTTATTTTAAAAGTTAAATTTGAACCATTTTTATATATTTGATAGTAAGTCACTGAATTGGACACTTTTGGGGGGGGGCGGAGGTACCAGGGATTGAACTCAGGGGCACTCAGCCATTGAGCCACATCCCCAGTTCTATTTGGTATTTTATTTAGAGAAAGGGACTCACTGAGTTGCTTAGCACCTCACTTTTGCTGAGGCTGGCTTTGAACTCACAATCCTCCTGCCTCAGCCTCCCAAGCCACTGGAATTACTGGCATATACTACCAAATTGAGCACTTTTATACCAGTTATTTGAGAAATATTTAAATTATTTCCTTAATTATAATCATTGTACCTGTTTTTTCCACCTGAGTCAGCTTTACAAAAATTAAAAATAAATACATTTATGCTATAATGTTAGTAAGTTATTCAAATAACCTATATGCCTTCCGAATCTTATGTCCTTGAAATATATAAAATAAACCATGAATATACAACTATATAGTAGTAAAATGAAAATAAAACTTTTAAAAACATTGCAACATAAAAACAAAAATGTTCTGGCCAATGAGCATTTGTGAGTGACACAGTAACTGTCATTCAGATACCTAAAATTTTATACCACTCAAAACTGGAAGAAGGGGTGGATCTTGTGCTAGTCTCCAGCGCTCCAGACTTATAGATATAGGGTACCAGATATGCCTAAATAAGAAGATACACATTCCACTTGGTTTTACCCTTCCCAGATTCATCACAACAGATGTGCTGAAATATCTGTGCATCTAAAAGAAAGTGGAAGGAAAACTTCTAATATCCTGCCACAGGGTTAATTATCAATTGAGCAGTAATCACAATCACTCCCACTGAAAAATAAAGCAGCCTCAACATAGTACTTTTTTTAAAAAAATACTTTAAGTTTTTAAAGTATTTTTTTTAAATACCATCTTTATTTATTTTTATTTATTTATCTTTATGTGGTGCTGAGGATGGAACCCAGGGCCTCACACATGCTAGACAAGCACTCGACCACTGAACTACAACCACAGCCCAACATAGTACTTTTTAACTTCATACACAGAAAAAAAAAATCTATGGGCTGGATTTGGGAAAAATAAATATTATCAGTTCCTTAATTGTCTTTGTTTCTATCATCTCAATCATAATGACTTTTTCCAAGGAAATTTATTTAGTAATCTGCAGAATACTTCATATAAGATTAGGATGCAAATCAAACAATCCAGCAAGCAGTGTTTTCAATATTATGACACAGACAGGTTCTTCACCAGACTTTGAAGTGAAGGGCTGTGACTGACTTACCTGCTGGCTATCACACATTGAGCACCCAGGCTGGACAGAAAAGTTGTCATGGCTTTTCCAAGGCCAGTACCTCCTCCAGTAATGAACGCCACTTTTCCTTGAAAGCTATTAGGTGGCAGCATCACTTTTTGAAGGGGAGGAAAGAATTTAGACTGTGAAGCTTCCATGCTTTGATATAATATTTTTGTTCCATAACTGAAAAACTAAAAGGAAAAAAAAAAACAAAATGAAACAAATTGAACTGCAGACATAAATTTGTACAAGAGATATTTAAAATTTATTCTTGAATTTAATATTAATTAAGTTCTTGGATTAATACAAATGTGCTGCAAACATGATTATTATATTTAATCAATTATTATTCTGTTTCTTTTTGAGTACTAAGTAATATATGAAGGGGTTAAAAAACATGGGTTCTAGAACTATAGACTAAATAGTGTGAAATTTTCTCCCTAGTCATATAGTCAACAGAAATTTATTTAACCTTTCTGTGCTTAATTTTCTTCGTCTATAAGATGGGAATAAAAGAACTCTCTTCCTTGACACTTTTAAACAGGTGCCTCCTCAATTAAAATTAGTAAATGAGCAAGGCATGGTGGCCTATGCCTGTAATCCCAGCAGCTCAGGAGGCTGAGGCAGAAAGACCACAAGTTCAAAGCCAGTCTCAGCAAAAGTGAGGTGCTAAACAACTCAGTGAGACCCTGTTTCTAAATGAAATATAAAATAGAGCTGGGGATGTAGCTCAGTGGTCTAGTATCGCTGAGTTCAATCCCCAGTACAAAAACAAAAAAGGAGGTAAATATAACTGAAATAACTATGACTATAGTATATATATATATATATATATATATATATATATATATATAGTATGCTCTATATGTTCTATACATATGAACATTATTATTTGCAGGTGTTTTGCTTAAATTTTACTTTAGAAACTGATATAAAACATTTTTATTTTTAAAAAGAATAATTTGGGGACTGGGGCTATAGTTCTGTTGGTAGAGTGATTGCCTTACATGCATAAGGCCCTAGGTTCAATCCCCACTAACAAAAAAATAAAATAAAAAGAATAATTTGGATAGATATCACACTTCATTTTTTAATTACTGAAGAAAATTATTTTAAAATTCTTTAATGCTAATTATATCAAATGCCTCTATTTTGTTTTTTTCTAACCAATAAATTTAGAACAGAAATTTATAATCACATTACATTTGAAAACCACTGATATTCTCTCACAGTTAATTATAAAAACACATTGTAAGAGTTTAACATAACAAACAACAGGAGCTACCATTCATTAAGTGGTTACCATATGCCAGGGTCAGATATTAAACTACCTAATCACTACAACTATCACATGAAATAGTTATTTTTTTTAATCCCATTTAAAGGAAGGGCTCAAACAGATTAAAAATATTGAGCAAGTGAAGGACTAAGATTCAAACATGGGCTGACAGACTCTGGAGCCCTCCTTTAATAACCACCTTGTATGTTGCTTCTATCTAGTCTCTGAGCTCCTACTTAATAATCACATATGGGAGGTATGTAATATTCCCCCATCAGGAAAACAATCACAAGGTCAAAACTCCAGAATCTCATCTTTTCCTGCTAGAGTATTCCTATAAGCTAAATAAGCTGCCATCAGTTGATCCAGGATATCCAGAAACTTACCCTAAAGAAATAATCAGAAATATGATCAATGATTTAGAGTAAGGTTGTTTGTCAACTGGAAATTACATAAAATGTTTATGATGTAATTGAGTAAAAAAAGAAAAATACAGTGTATATTCTTAAATAAAACCAAATGCTCAGGAAAAAAAAAAAGACTAGAAGAAAATAACAGCAGAAAGCAGTAGACTGAATATTTACCATCTACCAAGGTCTTTTAGACTTTCCTCCCCCCTTTACTTCCCTTCCCTCTTCCTTTACTTCATATACTAAATTCTGTTGCCATTCTCATTTTATAGATGGGGAAACTAAAGCACAGAAAGATCATGTAGTATATTTTTATAGACAAATAATAAGTACTTCACTACTCATTTATATAGTTCTACTTATTTATAAAGTACTTACACACTAAGTACTTTATATGATCCACCAATAATGTGAAGACAGAGCCTACAGAATGGGAGAAAGTCTTTATCACATGCCCCTCAGATAGAGCATTAATCTCCAGGATATATAAAGAACTCAAAAAACTTAACACCAAAAACCAAATACCCAATAAATAAATGAGCTAAGGAAATGAACAGACACATCACAGAAGAAATACAATTGATCAATAAATATATGAAAAAATGTTCAACATCTCTAGCAATTAGAGAAATACAAATACACTGAGATTCCATCTCACTCCAGTCAGAATGGCAATCATCAAGAATTCAAGCAATAATAAATGTTGGCAAGGATGTGGGGGAAAAGGTACACTCATACATTGTTGGTGGGACTGCAAACTGGTGCAACCACTATAGAAAGCAGTATAGAGTTTTCTTAGAAAATTTGGAATAAAACCATCATTTGACCCAGTTATCCCACTACTCAGTTTATAACCAAAGGACTTAAAATCAGTACACTATAGTGACACAGTCACATCAATGTTTATAGCAGTTCAATGCACAATAGCTAAACTCCAGAACCAACCTACGTGCCCTTCAACAGATGAATGGATACAGAAATTGTGATATATATAAATGATGGAATATTACTCATCCTTAAAGAAGAATGAAATTATGGCATTAGCTGGTAAATGAATGGAACTGGAGAATATTATACTTAGCAAAATTAGTCAATCCCAAAGAAACAAAGGCTTAATGTTTTCTCCGATATTCAGATGCTAATTCACAAAAAGGGCCAGGGAGCTAGGGAAGAATAGAGGTATTTTGGACTAGACAGAGGGGAGTAAAGGAAAGGGAGGGAGTATGGTGGTAGGAACAATAGCAGAATGAATTGGATGTTATTATCCTATGTGCACATATGATTACACAACTGGTGTATCTACATCATATACAACCAAAACAATAAGAAGTTATACTCCATTTATAAATGATGTGTCAAAATGCATTCTACTATCATGTATAATAAGAACAAATTAAAGAAAAAAGTAATTTACGTGATCCAAATCTAAGATCTGACTTCAGAGTCTATCCTTTATAGTTATTATCTATAAGTAATGGAATTATGGATAATTATTTAATTTTTATTTCAGTTTGGTTGGTTTTAAATACTTACAAAAATCTATCAAGTATTATTTGAATTCATAATCATGAAAAATGTTATTGAGAGATAAAATTTGAGAATGTATGTAAAAAAATTGAAGATAAATTGACAAATCTGGTTATGTTCCATGCCAGTCATATTTCTTTTAACTTCATATTGACAAAGCTTTTTTTATTTTGGAATCCTTTTGCCAACATTTGATAATCCCAAGCAACCTATAATAATCTTTTTCTACCTAAATGGCAGTTTTACCTAAGGCTGCCACCCACCTCCAGAATTACTGCATTAAGATGATGAATCAGGAAGTTTGCACGAGTAGGCTGGTAAATTTGTCACTACCTAATAATAACGAAAAAAATGTATTCTAATTTTCCAAAGGCTCTACCATGAATATTTTTTACTTAGTTTGTGGAGGAAATTATATGGGAGGCTTTATTAAAAATAACTAAAGAAGATATTTAAAAACATTTTTTTCAACCTCCTAACTGCTAGGGGAAAGCTTAAAAAAGTAAAACATCACATTTGATAATAATAATTCCCAATAAATATCTATAACAGATTATTGAATAACAAGATCTTACCTATCTTTTTTGATCTGATCAATACTGATCTTATGACTTCATCACTTTACCAATCCAAAAGTGAAAAAAAAACACCCTGATATACTATTTTAATTCACATTACCCTCTGACCACTCATAGCATATATGTGAATATAAATTCAGCCATCCCTTGGCCTGATCAAGGTTAGTTGCTCCATATCAGCACTGAAATACATAGAGATTCTCAGGTCTCACAAGATCACATTGTATACACTCATATTTCTACAAAGAAATATTCTGAATAATAGTAATCGTACTTGGTCATTTCCTTTGAATTATTTTTTAAAAAGCGGATACAATACAGGCTTTGAAAGATTTTTCATATCTTGCTTTGTAGTTTTTCTAAACACAAGTTGTTTAGAAATAAATTGTTTCTGAAAATGGAAATAACACCTTTTCTATCAAGATTGATTTCTCTAGAGATCTTTGGTGACCTAAAATTCTTAAAACTCTCTGAAGTCCTCCAATTTTGACAATACAGATTTATTTTTTAGTGTTAGAAGCTATAATCTGCCTCAAGAAGGTTAACTACCCCTGGTACACCCCACCTCCAAACTCGTCAGCTTCCCACTTTACATAAACAATATCTTCCTCCTTCATGTATTGCTAAATTACACCTAAACTAATGAGCCACAACCAGCTTCTAATCCTCAAAATGGCAGTTCTAACAGTCTTGACCTTATCTCTTCCCTGGAGGATAAAAACTGTTGTCAATGAGAGTCACACCTAAATTATTTAAGGATTTGGACTAGTATAAAATGTCTAGAGTCAAAATCTAAAAGTATATTGGTGATCCTAGGCCAAATGTGTTTTATAAGACCTAATTTGGAATTTTAAGTCATCATTTAGATATTGGGTGAATTCACAAAAACCAGAAGTTGGGTCCAACTTCTTACATGATTCAGCCCAACCTGCCTGCCTCTTGGGACAGACCTAGGCTCTTTTTGGCCCTGACTCACATAGGGACAGTAAGCCCTTTTACTGGGTGGCTTTCATTTACAGAAACTTTACAAACCTGAGGTATTTTGAGTATAGAACCCTTTGTTTAAACAAAACCCAAGAAGCAGTACAAAAGAAGGGGGGGCAGGATTTTTATTTGTGTGTTGGAGGGGGTTATTTTGTTTTGGCACTATATGTAAGTTTCTGAAATTTCATATAAAACAGATTTCTGTAAAAATATTAAGATATATATTTTAGAAAATCCAGTTTCAAATCTGTAAAAACTTATATAGTAAAAGACTCTTACATGTAAGTTGTGAAACTAAGTTCATATTTAAATAAGCATTAACTTAGCTGTTTTACCACCACCACTATTACCACCACCACCATCATCATCATCTCTTCTGATGAAGTCTCCATATTAAAATCCAATCCCTCAAA